TATTTGCCTTGTTTTCATGTGACAGAAAATACTAGTACAATTATTTAAAATAATAAAGAAATTATATTATAACAAAGTTAATATTACAACATTGACAAATTAAGCACACAATTTTTTGTGGCCTTGTTAACTGATTTTTAATATTTTCAGAAATATCCATGATTATGAGTCAGAAAATACTAGCACAACCATCATACTACTGTTACAATTGCTCAAATCCATAGTTATTACATTAACTGGCACATCTGTGTTAAGTACATTCTAGTGATCACCTCTATAACCATTTTCAAAACTACTGGCATATAAAGTTGTGTGAATCAAAGATATAAACTCGGGGAACTCTAGGTAACAGAATCATCTAGACTGTAAAAAAATATTTTTCAAAGTTGTAAATAAAACCGATTATTGGAGTACGTTTCATGTGATTGTGTCCTACAGGTGTGTTGCCCAATAGTCTGGGTCTACACAGCCTGAAACCCAGTCCAGTGGCTCCAGACAGCCAGGATCAATCTCCGACCGAACTGCAGTACCGCAACAAAGTCCAGCACCGCCGATTCTCCATGGAGGTGAGTCACGTTTAATCATCTCATCCTTCTCCATGCTAAAGCCCAACCAAGTGTCCTTTCCAGAAGCTTTGATGAGTCCTAGTGATCCGAACAGAACAACACAAGCTCTGCTTGTAATCTTAGTCCTTAATAAAGTCCTTGCCAGAGGCACTAAAGCCTAGTTATCAAACACTTTGTTTCTCTTTAAGGTGAGACTAGGTAAATCCACATAAAAGTACTAAAGCAATGATAAGTTTTTGTCTAACTGCCATAAAACACTCCTTTACTATGGTAATCACAGTTATATGGAGGCCCTAATGGGACATGATGATAGTAAAAATATTAGATGGAAAAATTATATTTTAACACTTTTGCATTCTCACGAAACTTTCGCGTTTCCCTGAGAAACTTAGCATTCGCTCGCAAAACTTTTGTGATGGAAATAATATGAGGTGGGAAGAAAAACTATATTTCAGTGCTTTAGCGAGTGACTTCAACGTATCTTGAGGGAATGCAATAGTTTTGCAAAGAATGCAAAGTTTCTCAAGGAAATTAACTAGTTTTGTGAAAGAACACAAAGTTTCACAAGGGATCGCAATAGTTTTGTGAAAGAATGCAAAGTTGCTCAGGGGATCACATTAGTTTTGCGAAAATTGCGATGTGAAACTTTGTGTTCTTTCACAAAACTAAAGCACTGAAATATAGTTTTTCTATATTGCAACGTTTTTCGGGTGAATGCAATACTTTTGCAAGAGAATACAAAGTTTCTCGGGGGAATGCAATACTTAAGCATGTTTTAAAAATGATTATTCCTAATGTATTTCTAAAATGATTTTCACAATGCAAATCCTTATAAATAAAAAATAAATAAAAAAGTTAATTACTCAGTCACATTACTTATTTTTGCATATTGGTAAAATTATTCTGTAAATGTGTTTCCATCATAGTTTTCCTTGTGTTCAATCATAGTCACTGCAATGCTTTCATACAGATTTCTGCACATATATATATACATATATACATACACACACATAACAAATATAAGACACATATATGTATTATAGTGTCATAGATAAGCAAGTTCAAAACAAAACAAACCATGCCAACTGGATTGGTGAATGACAACAACAGACTAACCAGAGACTGCATGAGTCTGCTGCCTTTTACTCCTCTCTTCTACCATAATCATCCATGCGATTTAGTATCTGTATGAGAGAAGAGCCTCAGTTGGAGGCACATGAGAAAGATGGAGTCCATCATTAAATGGAGTGGAAGTATTACCTGTAAGTTAGTCCAGCGCCACAAAAGACTGACTCCGCATTCGGAGTGTTCTTTGCCTCGGCTGTCAGCTTTCTTATTCAGTGGCCATGAATCTAGAGGGGGAAAATTGGAATGAATGCCCTCTCCCATTTTCAAATCCGACTGCTTCTTTCTGCTCTCGCAAACCTTTTATCTGCACTGTGCACCCTTATTTTATTCCCACAGGCATGACGGGAGAGAGCCGAGGAGAAAGGAGGACTTTTTATTCCCTGGCTTTATTGAGAATCGCTGGCTAGTTTTATTGCATGACCGTACAAACTCAGCCACAAGGCAGAGCGGGAGGAATCAGAGGGAATGCTGTCATTTTTCAGAGCACATTGCCGTGCTATTTTTGGGCCTCTCCTAACCGCGGCGATGAATCGAGTTACAAACTAACGCCATCAGAGCTTCTTAGATGCGAGAAGATTGTTAGATATACTTCAGCTCTTTGTAAGATACAATATTTTGTCCTGCCCTGCCTTGGCGTGTTGAGATTACTGCAGAATCCTTTATTGAGTGAGAGTCTTCATACTGGAGAAAAGTGACAGGTTTTCTCATTGTCATGCCGAGTTCATCATGGTAAGAATAGTCGGTTCTGCCTATAGGCGTAGAGTTGTGTTGCGTGGTGGAGAAAGCGGTCATATTCACCTTGACACGCTGTGTTTTCATATGTGTGCTAGCTGAACGCTAATAGCTGACAGCTCTTTGATGTGTGTGCAGGATGTAACTAAGAGGATGTCTCTGCCCATGGATATCCGTCTCCCACCAGAGTTCCTGAAGAAGTTACAGATGGAAAACCCTCCACCGTGCAAACCGCTCAGCCGCATGTCCAGAAGAGCCTCACTGGTTAGTAACCAAACTAAACTCACTTCGAAAGTTACTGATGCAATCTAAACAAAGACATTTCATAGTTTAAAGGGGTCCTATTATGCTTTTTCACTTTTTTAATTTTAGTCAGTGTGTAGTGTGTATGTTTGGGCATAAAAAAGATCTAGAAAGTTACAAATCTCAAAGTCCACTCCAAAAGGAGATATTTCGTTTTTTAAAAATCCCTTTTCAAGAACTACAACGAACGGCTCGTTTGGACTACAGCGTTTGTTTTCCGGGCTTTGTGATATCACAAAGCGGCTCATTGGAATATCATTACAAAGAATTCCCGAAAATCAAGACTTTGTAAAAGAGCATAATAGGACCCCTTTAAGTTAATGCTAATAACTGCAGACTAACCGAAACCCTAACCCCGCTAATTAAAATAGAATAACTACAATTTTAAAAAACATAAAAAAATGTATGAAGATGTAGTTAATTTCTTGAAACAAAACTATCTATTCTACATACACACCGATTCTGTTCCAAAACCAGAGCTTCCTACCCAGGCAACTTTTTTAAGCATTATAGCCATATAATAGTACACAGATACCTATTTTTTTTATTATTATTAATTAATTAATTTTTGTTTTTACAAAATCTTGAGCAACAAATGTGTTTCTGGAGATAATGCAATCCCAGAATGCACTGAAACAAGCTTGTGGGGAAAATCTTTTTTTAAAGATTAGGGTAATACCATTTATGAACACATTCTATATTGAGTACCGAAAAACATTGCTAATTTAAGCAATTTAATTTTTTTATTTTTTTTTATTTTTCAGTGGCCTTGTTCCTGGAAGTATTGTTCCCATTCATTTTTCCCATGTTTAAGAGTTATAAGGCATGACTTAAACCAACCAGCTATGCGGCTAATAACAACATTACAAACTTTGATTTGAAGCAAAAAATAAATAAATCTGAAAATCCTACAAATAGAACAAAAACGGCTTTAATGACGGATAGAATTACAATGCTATGAAGCATATTGAATGACATAATCAAAATAAAAATGCTAGAAAAATACAATTATTTATTTAACAGATGTTATGATGTTGATGTTAAAAAATATAATTTACGTTTATTGCAAAATATGCATCTTATGCATACAAATATTTAGAACAAACAAATAAGCAGTTTGAGAGCTTCATGGAAGTGGGCTAGCACTATGTGCTTGTCACAGTTCTCTGATTGGTGGAGATTTCACTGCAGATTCATGGGTAATGTAGTTTTCCACAAGGCATTTTGCTGTTGAACATGATAAATTAAAATAATGCAGGCTGATGTCTTCAACAGAAGCATATTAACAACCCTGTAGCTCACAGTAGGTATGTTTTAAAGGTTTATAGGTTTTTTCCTCAAAATTAATTCCACTATGGAGAAAATAAATAGTATTTTTACTTCCAGAGCCCAATTATTGCACTCTAGTGATCATTAAGTTCAACTCTAGTCTACTGTCAAGCTATACTATTGCTTTCAAACTTATTGTGAATAGTGCAATACACAACAGGTTTGTGCACTTTTAATGAGTTGTGTACTTACTACTTAGCATGCCCCTCATCTAAAAACAGCCTCAGCACTCAGAAAAATATTGAGAAAAAATACTTACACATGATAAATAACACAACATAAGGTGCATTCACAGCATTACTAAAAGAACTGCTATAACAAACATTATCATAAACGTCTTCTACAGCCATTTTTCTCTTTTTCTCAGGTTTGCATGCTTTCAAAGCATTGGTCGCATTCGCATACTTACGCAGAATGTTTTTTTTTTTTTGTCTAACTCAGCATGTCCTTCTGCTACAAACAGAAAAACCTCAGTGGTTCCTACACAATGCCCTTCACTCGCTCCACTTCACATTAAACAATACTAGCAACCCTAACAACAGCCTTACTTTACATGTTGATATCCACGCACTGTTTACAGCTCAAAAAACTATTCATAAATGTTGTCACCAAACAATAAATTGAAGACACTTTGCTCACACTGTATTCCATTCTTTTCCAGTCGGACATTGGCTTTGGGAAACTGGAGACCTATGTGAAGTTGGGAAAACTAGGAGAGGTAAGATGTTTTCAGTTCCCTGGGTGAAGAAAAAGAAATTGATGCTATAAGCAAAAATTAAAAAACATAAAACAGCAGTCATCGAAATGAAGAACCAAATGTGTTCATTACGAGATTCCCCGCAGGCAATTACAGTGAATATGAGTCGTGTTGAATGTGGATTCTGATTTAATGGGCTTTTTTTTTGGCATGAAGAGACATCAGTCTCTAATATGCTCAAAGCTGTACAGCGACTAGCCCGTCAATTTTCCATTAAGTGCAACAAAGCATGCACATTGCAAATTGTGAGAAATAATGTACTACATACAACCCTAAGGAATACCGTATCTAATGAATGTGTGAGAAAAACCTGAAGTATTGGAAAAAATACTGGATAAGGACTGCAGTGAGTTCACCTCAATAAAGAAACAAATAGCGGTAATATCTTTGTATCAGCAGTTATAAACGTTTTCATTAATGTTTAAAGGTGCTTTTAGCTCTGCCTGGAAAAGTCAGGGAAATTAATCAAATCTTTAAAAGTGTGCTATGGTTTCGGTCTCTTTTGTGAGTGAAATATCTGTTATATCGCAAACCTTGACCTATTATAGGCATGTCATTTAGCAGATACTTTTATACAAATTAATTTACAAGGATGATCAATTTACAAGGACAATCACCTTGGAGGAATCTTTGGTCTTGCTAAGTAAATGATGGGATTTAGTTCATGGATCTACCTGAAGGCTTTGAAGCAAACTCATAATTTTTTTTTATTTTAAGAAATTAATACTTTTTTCCAGCAAGGACACATTAAATTGATCAAAAGTGACAGTAAAGACATTTATAATGTTAAAAAAATGATTTTCAAAAAAAGGCTGTTTTTTTGGAACTTTTATAACCATTTCCACAAAAATATTAAGCACAAGTGTTTTCAAAATGTCTCTTGAAAAATGTCTAAAGGATCATGTGACACCGAATGACTGCTGAAAATTCAGCTTTGCATCACAGGAATAAATTACATTTTATAATAGGGGTGCTCCGATTGATCGGCTACCGATCACTATCGGCCGATAATCACGTTGGGATGATTGATCGGCGGTCTCTAAAAGGCCAATCTCAAAAAACCGATCTCAAGCTGATCACGCTGCTGTGAGAAGGTTTGGCACGACATGCAGCGGCACCGTCTCAGTCTCTGTCCGGCGCGGGTGAAATAATTATAATGCTATAATTATAATAATCAACACATATGGCTTTTTGGCTAAGTTTAAAGGAAAAGAGCACTTTTAGATCAACAAGGCAATAATAGATGGCGCTCGTGGAGGTAGGAAAACAAAGTTCTTTATGAACGGCAGGATTGCTTGTAATAAAGATTTCAAAGCAAAAGGAAAGGCAGTAGAGCTGACTATTTCTCTCAATGGTAAGTTTGTGATAACGTAAGAAAAGCAGTTTTCAGTGACAATGTTTAAATTTGAAATCAAAATAATGGATAAATGTTGTGTTTGTGGTAAATAGCCACAGATCAGTAGCGGACTCCTGTGTGAAAGCTGCTTCCTCTCACAAAAATGAAATTCAGGCCCTGAATATATGTCTAAAAATCCTGATTGGAGTATCACTATAAATAGTTATAAATGATGAAAAGAAGGCTTTAAAAAGATCGGTATCGGTGATCGATATCGGCAGATACTGCTTTCTGTGATCGGCCTCAAAAATTACCAAAAAGTACCATAAAAACCTCAAGTTCATTTTTTGGAAATGTGAACACTTTTTCTAGCTATGCTCATCTCCAGCCAACATATGGGTAATCTCAATATGAAATGACTTCCATAAACAATAGCTCACCAGTTTTAAAGAGCAGTTTTGATTTTCTAGCTCGTCCCAGCTGACATTGTGGTTAAAGACAAAAATCTCTAACCAAACTAGAAACTAGATCAACACTCCCAAAGATTTGTCTGAAGTTTCTGGTCTAATCCAGTGGTTCTCATATGGTGGACTGCAGGTCTGATATGGTTTAGGAAAGCAAAAATAAAAACATGTTGAATGCAAAATTACAATGCAACTTACCATATTGTGCACTTAGTATAGACTATATGTTTTTATCTACTATATATCTTGTTGTTGACATCAGTGACCTTGCTTCCAGTCAATCTCTATAATATTTTAGCATAAATTAATCTGAAATTTGGTAGAAGCTTGTGAAATCAGACAGATGTTGACATGGACAGGTTGTATGACATGTCCTCTTCCTGAAAAACCAACAATGAACAAAACTAAACAAGGATAAACTCTGAGATTAACCTTGTTTGTGCAGTCCATTGAAATTCAAGAGAAATCTGAGAACCAAACATGTTCTTAATTTGGCATCTTGCTGGGCTTATGCAATTTATGGTAATAGTAATGTCTGATTTCAAGTCATTTCTTTTTGCTTTCGTACAATACATCATTGGGTTGCCAAGGTAAAATCTGGATCCTCAAGTAAAACCAGTTGTGAACCACTGATCTATTCTGCACCACTCCTGTTTCCCAGATGATTGACATATTTTTGTCTTCCTGTCTGTCAAACAGGGCACATACGCAACGGTATTCAAGGGTCGCAGCAAACTCACAGAAAACCTGGTGGCCCTGAAAGAGATTCGTCTGGAGCACGAAGAGGGCGCCCCGTGCACGGCCATACGGGAAGGTGGTGTCCTCCTCTCTCACTGACTCAACTATGATTTCGAGCTCCCCAGTTGTTCAAAACCCAGATTGTCACGAAGAGTATACATTCTAAACTAGCAAGCCACAGGCGTCTTCTTCACCCAGCCTGAATCACTCCATCTAAATGAGATGGAGTACGTGAGCAGGGTTGCTAATGGAAAACGCTGACGTGAAGCAAGGCTGCCACCCAGTGGCTGCTGAGCTCACGCTAGAGGGAACATACCATGATGCACTGCATTACAAAACATGTCAGGACACGAGAGGTCAGAGTTAGGCATAATTCAGAAAGCAATTCTTTTATAGCTCTGGGACTTCATTTAAGTATCAACTTGTTTCAGATTTAATGTTGCGGGGATCCCTTTCTCTAAAGAAAAATCTGAGATGCAGAAGACCTCAGTAAAAGTGTCCATTCATTCTCACTTTAATATTTCATTCTTTCCTGTTGCATAAAAAAAGACTTAAAATGAGAGGTAAATTATTTAATAAATCATATTAGGTAATTAGATAGAAAGATATTATATATTTATGTAATTA